AGCTGAAGTCGCCGGATGCTCCTCAAGGGCAGCCCCATGTAGAGCACATTGCAGTATTCCAGCCTAGAGGTCACAATAGCAGAGTTGGAAGGGACCTTGGAGGTCTTCTAGTTCAACCCCCTGCCTAGGCAGGAAACCTTATATCATTTCAGACAAATGGCTATCCAACATCTTCTTAAAGACTTCCAGTGTTGGGGCAATATATAAATATATTTTCCTTACCATCTGTCCCTAATAACATCTTGTCAAATATTGTTGGTTTTTTATATACACCCCACATTTTCGCATCTTTCTCATATCTCAATTGCATTCACAGATGTGGCCACCAAGCTAAATCTACCCCTTGGTTTTGTAATTCCTGTCTAGTTTTAAGTTCTCCATTCTCATTTAAAATGTCTTTATAGGTTACAATTTTTCCCCCCAAATTAACAACATTTGGATGTATCAATGCTTCCATTGAAGAGAGCCAGATTGGTATTTTTATATAATTTTGTGTTTTGATTTTTTCCCCTACTAAAAATAAAGTATTCCTCACATAGTGTCTTTGAAAATATCTGGGTACTGTACTCCTTCCATACCATAAAAAGTATGCCACCCTAATTGGAGATTATATCCTTCCAGTAGTAGTAATCTTCTATGCCTTAGATTTATCCATTCTTTTACTCATATAAGTACAGATGCCTGATAATATGCCAGGTATTTCTTTGGGGGCTTTTATTTTGATGTTGTTTGTGTTGTTATATATATTGAGGTAGTTAATTGGGCCTTAACCTGCTCTAAATTGGTTTAAGATGGGCAACCAGCCAAATGTTATATATTTAACCATTTGCTATGGCTTTGCTGCCTTTCAATGTCATCTGTCATACAAGGAAGATATTTCTTGAAATATTGCTTTCTGTTTTCTCAGATACTGAAAAATGCACCAAATGCCCTGATGATCAATATCCAAATGAAGACAAAGTCCAATGTATCCCCAAAAGAATAAGCTTCTTGTCCTTTGAGGAACATCTAGGTATCATCCTGGTCTCCTTTGCCCTACTCTTGTTCCTAACCACAGGTCTTGTTTTAATCACATTCATTAAATACCTAGAAACTCCCATTGTCAAAGCCAACAATCGGGACCTCTCCTACATCCTCTTGGTTTCCCTCCTGCTTTGCTTCTTGTCTTCTTTTCTCTTCATTGGTCAGCCAAGGAAAGTCACTTGCCTTCTCCGACAAACAGTGTTCAGCATTGTCTTCTCAGTAGCTGTATCATCTGTGTTAGCTAAAACAATCACAGTTGTGCTGGCCTTTCTGGCCACAAAACCAGGCAACAGGCTGAGGAAATGGTTGGGGAAGAGCTTAGCCAACTCCATCATCCTTTCTTGTTCTGGTATCCAAATTTTCATCTGTGCCATGTGGTTGGGAATTTTTTCTCCATTTCCCAATTCTGACCTGCACTCCCAGCCAGGAGAGATCATCCTGCAATGCAATGAGGGTTCTGTCACCATGTTTTATGTTGTCCTCGGATACATGAGTTTCTTAGCTGCCATTTGCTTCACTGTAGCTTTCCTGGCCAGGAACCTGCCTGGGGCCTTCAATGAAGCCAAGCTGATCACCTTCAGCATGCTGGTCTTC